CAGCATCTTAGCTGTAGAGGGCAGTGTCACTGGCCCTCACATGTGGGATCCGAACCGGGGCCCTCTGGCGTCCCAAGCCAGTTCTTAACCATCGCGCCATTCGGCCGGCCCAGGTTTGTTTTTTAACTCTTGTAAAGCACAACCTGTGTTTTCTTTCCGTGGACTTGACTAAGGGATGGTCATAATGGAATCTCTATTCTTTCAATAGTTTGTAATTGATTAACATCTGCCTGCGTTCTGTGTCTTGAAGCACATAGGCAGTGGGCTTGGAATCCAACCTCTTAGTTCCTTCTGTAAAATTGGTCCTCATGCCCCTTCACTATATTAGAACCAGCTTCTGCCTTTGGACGTCAACACATCTTCTTCAGGGACGTTTGCTTTTAATCAAAACTTGTTCTGGGCCCTAAAGGGACAGTGGCATCTTCCTGTAGCTCCTTCTGTATGTGGGGACACAGGTGTGCACAGAAAATTCCAGACTCAGTCTCCAGATAGAGGGATGCCCTTGCCCTGAGCAAGAGGGGCTCCTAGGCCAGACCAGACTGCGACAAGAAGGTCAGAGGTCCTCCCTGGTTCAAGGGTTGGCACAGGTTGCAAGGCCACTCAGAACTCGGACCCTCGTTTAAAAACACACATAAAAATGGCCTCACCATATGTAATAAAAAGTCTGGTTCCATTTTTATCTTTGTTTACAGCATTAATGCTTCTACCTATCCCTCCTCTGCCTCCATAGATGTGGTACTTTAGCTAGAGAATCCTGTGTTGCTGGATTAGGTTTGCTAGTACTTGTTGAGATTTTGTGCATCCATTTTTACAAAAGAAATTGATCTCTAGATTTTTTTGTAATACTTTTGTCTGTTTTTAATATCAGAGTAATACTGGTCCCATAGAATGAATTTGAAGTGCTGTGTTGATTTTATTTTCTGGAAGAGTTTGTGAAGAATCATATTAAAACTTTGAATGTTTTGGAGAATTCTGTGGTGAAGTTCCTGGGTCTGGGCTTTCCTTTTTAGTAATTCAACCACTTCATCTGTTATAGTCACCTTTTCTATTTTTTTTTCTTTTTCCTTGAGTTAATTTCAGTAGGTTGTGTATTGGTTCATTTCATCTAAGTTATCTAATGTGCTGGCATACTGTTGTTCATTGAATTCCTTTATAACCCTTTTTATTGCTGTAAGGTAGGTAGTAACAGTCCCTCTGTCTGTCTGATTTTAGAAATCTCAGTCTCCCTTCTTCTTCTATAGGCCAAACTAGCTAAAAATTTGTCAAGTTTCTCCTCCCACAACCACATCAAAATTACAACTAAACTACAGATCAACCATCATTGAGAACCAACCACCTGAAGTCTAGCTGAATAGAAATCCTAT